TAATTAATTAACTAACTGAATTGACCAAAAATGAGCACCTTGATACAATTCAATACAATTTGAACGAAGCGTTGTTCCATATGACTAACTCATCTGACTATATTGCCAACTCGGTTGCTCGAAGTTCCACACTCGTTACTGCATTTCTGCTTATCGTGTTTCATTCACGTACCGTTTTCGGCAAGTCACCAAAAAGGTTACAATAATGACACTGGGGCGCTTAAGGCACTTGCCTTCAATCAGCCTCTTAAAAGACGGTAATTATTTTTTTTATGGAAAATAGCTTGACTAAGAGGAGAACGATCTTGAAAATGTTTTTTGATCAGACCTGGATTATCACATTTCGCAGCGTCGGTGTGTACTTACACCGAAAAACACTAGCAAATATGAATTCTTTGGTTCCTTATCTTGGGCGAAATGACCTCAAAGCCATGTTTCACAGCCCGATTCCAGAACCAAGAGACACGTGAATTCGCTAACTCGTATTTTCCTCGAGCCATTAAGCTCTTGCTTCTCTCTGATAGGTTACTTTCTAGTTCTTATGTACATGTTGCCTCTTATGTGATCATTGTGTGTGGAACGTTTCCGGTTGGAAAATTCGCCGGTCATAGTGAATGGCGAAAGTTGTTTCATTGTCTTCGATTCAACACGACATTGAAAGACTGCCGAACGTGTACTGTAGGTTTTATTTTTTGGTGGAAATCCCAGGCGGCCAGCAATATTAGCGAATCATGAGTCCAACTGCATTTGCCTCGGATGCTGCCAGTTAGGTCGGCTCAATTCAGACGAGAAATGCATATACCCGACAATAACGTCTATCAGTTTGTCCGCCGAGATGGTGCCACGATAGGCGCCAGTTCATATCGCGTTATTTCCACCGTCTAGAAGTCTGTAGTACAGCTGCAAAGTTGAACCGTGTTGGACAATGACCGATGTAAAGGACGAGGTCGAATCATAAAACGGCGAAAAGTCGAGAGGCTGCCGCATGCGTACGCACTGCACGATACTCCACTACTCTACTCATGATGGAGTCGGCCACTGACGAGATCCTGGGGTTTTGTCAATCAAAAAAAAATATGTTCCTCATGCTCTGTTGCTCAATCTGGGACACTTTCTATGAAAATGTGTATCACGCGAGCGTGACCAATCACTTGGTTTGTGCCGAAGTTGGCTTCGACGTGGAGGAGCCGCATGAGTTGGAAAGTGACGAATCACGTTAGTTTTTCTGTTTCAAGTGGACCGACTCGACCCGGACTGATCTGTTCATCTGTATATCTGTCTTGCACGCACAGAACCACGTTAGACTAACACAGGCCAGGCTAGCTCAAGGACAGGAACCAGGTGTCATTCCGATATGATCATCCTTGTGATTCACTGAAAACGCTGACGTGCACGTACGCGCAGCGCTACCTGATTTCATGCGTACGATGTATATACAGGTCAAACGACACTCAAAACTTTCGAGTGTTTTTTGGACGCTACAGAGCCCCACATTGCCCACTCGGAAAAAGAGCAGTGAGGAGAAAATTTGGGATCTTTTCCAGATTAGCCCCGCCAAAAAATTAACCCCCACCACACGAAAAAGATTACGAAAGAGAGGATATGAAATTTGCACTTTTAGTTTTTATCGAAGAGGGTGAAAGTGGGACATGTCGTTAATAATTTGCATGAAAAGGTCCGTTTTTCGGTACCTTTGCCTCCACTAAAGATCGGTGTGTGCCGCATTGGCGTTTACTCTGCATCTTGTAGACGTGTCAGAGAGATTCGATGGTTTGTGTGTGATCTCCAGTCGTTGGGTACACAGAGTCTTCGGTATGATTAACCGTTTCATCAGCATAATTCATGTCAAATAATCGTTCAGTTCCTTGGTATGATACCCACATATCGGAGCTGATGTCTGAGCCGGGAGCGATGCACGCCTGGATTGTGTCCATCAAAGTGGCTGCAGTTAGATCTGGCATTACATACATGAACACCTCTTTAGTGTCCCGGCGGATCCCNTGCTGGGGAAGGACTCGCCCTGCGCGGCCAGATATTAGCTTTTTCTCGATCTCGACGTGTAGACCTGGGCCGCCGATAACTGTTGGAGTTTGCAAAAGCCGCCAGGTGCAAACTTCGCGAAGAAAGCTCTTCCAGTCAACACCGGTCGTGTGGATAATAGATAATTCCTCTGAGCAGAACTTGATCTTTGCCAAATGTTTGTCCCAGCAATAAATGAATAGTATTACTGTCCTAAACTCCATCCTAGACCGCTCCAACCAAGTTCCCATTCGAAGACCGATTTCTAGGCGACACTGTCGGGTATTACACTTCCATCTGTCAGAAACAGTTGAAAGTGTCATTTGATGGCCATTGTTGCATAACTGTTGCTGATGGATCACTCCGTGGCTTTGCAAAAACGTATTGGCTTTTCCTTGTCAAGAACGATAGTTGAAAGCGTCAGAATGTTCATTTAAGGTTCTACGTCCGAACGGAGAAACTTTTTGCACAAAATAAGCCTCGATGTGGATCGGTCAAGGTTGTGTGCGGAAAGTAAATTGGAGCTGGCAAAAGTGGCGGGATCTAACTTTTCGCACACGCACTTTATGNNNGTGTGCGGAAAGTAAATTGGAGCTGGCAAAAGGGGCGGGATCTAACTTTTCGCACACGCACTTTATGCATTGGTGGCGGGGCTTATATGGAAAAGATCCAAAATTTGTCCAAAAAACGTGTTTCTTTCTATTCACAACCAACTGGGTATGCGCATCCCCAATTATCCGCTGTCAATAAACCTCATGTTACTCATAGAGTGCTAATTCCACCATGACATCGCGGGCGCATACGATAACGTATTAGCCTTCAAATGACTGGATCACGTTGCGATCCTGTCAACTTTATGGGGGCCTTGGACAGACATCCCGAGTAAAGTATCCAATCACCGGACTTCGTAAAGGTGTTATATCTATCGAATCTAATCGGTTAACCAGCCAATCTACATTTCCAATTTTTTCTGTATTTATTACACATCACTGGAAACTGCAGTGTACTGTTCAAAGCCCAGCGTGCTGCCCTCAAAAGACCAGTCTAGCGAATGATTTCGCTACCAAAGTCGATCGCGTCCTACTCTGGCAGCTGGAAGTTAGTGTTTATGCTTTCAAAACCCGTAAAGCTAGACATGGAAACAACAAGAACGTGGTCCAACCGACGTATAATGGACAATCAAGTGTATTGGGCGTTCAGGAGATACACATAGCATTGCTAGACCCGTTGTAATTTCAGCTTTACTACTGCATTTCTAAAACCATCTGTGCGTAGTGGCTGTCATTCAGAAAGCGGTTGATCTGTTTGACAAGCTTGGCAACCGACTTGCATACGTTTCGTCATCGAATGAGGACAACATCGTCTGTTGAGGTTCCCGATATGGAACTTTGAGTCCAGATCGCGAATATCAAACAGGTGTAGTAGCTTCGAAAGTATACGGTAATGTTTGCAGAAAGGTGAGCGAAACTACACAAAAAGCTTCAGTTTTCCGCTTTCGTGCGCAGCAGAACAGTGCAGTGCCAAGGTCGACAGGTCAGACAACTACAAGCGGAATGTTGGCTCGGCAGCATGAGTTACGGCCATCACGTGCAAGTCCAGTTTGGTGATTCTGATTGGCGACGCAACCACAACGAATTCACGATAGAACACGTTATGACTGGTCGACCAAATGATGCATGGACAAGCAAGGGTAAGTAGGTCAGTGATACATACACACGTGCTGGAGAATACCTGTGAAAGGAAGAAGGCCTTCGCTGCAGAGATGTCCATTAGAAAACACCAACTGAACAGTTACAGTCTATTGGACAGGAAACCCGAACTCTCATTGGCATCTTGTGTACAAAAACTGAATATCCATCTTCTCCTTGGACGCGTCTTTCTGAACTTTCCTGGATATTCATTGATTGTTGCTCAATATGCGAGGCGAACGTGTTACCACTATTCCACCAGCGCACGTTGGACGCATCTGAATTCTCACGTCTGAACGGGTGAACGTGATCTCACTTTCCAAAAGACGCGAAGCAGATTTCCGAAGAAACACACTACCCACATGCCTCATCAGTAGTATCCACCGTTACACTAGTATCGGCACTAATGGTAAGATGAATTCATGGAGAATAATTTTCAGCAACTTTATGAGTAGTTTGTTACGAGCATAGTTCGAAAGCTCAGTTAGGGTAGAAAGCAACAAAATTTCACAAACTTGTCGGAAATAAGTTTCCGCAAACTAATTTGGAAATTAAAACCACTCAATTCAGACATATGATGCGAGAACTTTTAAACTGGTGGAGAACCTTCTGGGAGCGCATACAAACAGTCAATCTGAATTGAGAGCAGTTTCTTAAATTGCTTTGCGTAAACCTCACTAGTTCCAGATGAAAAATAATCTTTCTACTTGTTGGTGAAACACGGCAATTTCCAGTTGACCGCAGGACCTAAGACACAAACCCACGAGATAAACCTCAGCAGGGATGAAATACCAGACAGTTCTTTTCAGCCCTCTAGCTCAAAGTCTATTCGCTGGTAAGATTAAATTCCAACAAGGTACAGATGCCAGCTGACTTGATTTATCCTATTGCTTCGTGTTCGAAAGTCTAATATGGAAATATCCTGCTTCGCTCACGATTTCCTGTTCGTTGACATGGCTGTAAAGCAGTGTCATGATAACCTTCCAACCCTCGCCTACAGGTGGCCTATTTTCCTTTCATTTCGGTCCCCGATGGGTCGGCCTCACAAGCATCCTCGTCTGTTCCTTTCTGGATCTTCTGATCCCCAGTGCAGCATCAATCAGCCCATACCTTCTAATCGTAACCAGAATACTACAAGGATTGGCTCAGGTACGTAACATCCTACAGTTATCCACTGGTTGTAGATAAATAACCTTTGCGCGTTGATATGTCTTTTCGTTGATGACTTCCCTGTGAGCCCCCCAGAAAACACTACAAGGAAGAGAGAATCTCTGGTTCAGAAAAGAAGCTGGAAATATTGGATAAGGGGTGCACCACCCTTTTGATGCCTAGCTATCGTGCTATTCGAAGGTAGCGCGAGTGTCCAGATACTGCCAGTTTGCCCAAGCCTAGGTAGAAGTGGTCTAGATCGAGGGGTTGGATTCGAACCTTCCGATCAGCGCCTGAATCACCGAGCTATCCCACTCCCGTTCAAAGGACTAGCCAGAAGAAAATCAAGGCGCTGTTGAGGCAGTGAAATCACAGGAAACGACGTGAAGGATCTGCCGAAGGAAATTTCGGTAGGCCGAACCAATAATCCCAGAGTTGAGATCCACGCTGATGTTTAGCAATATAGTGGCAACTGGATTTGAAGACAGGTATAATGTGCGAGTGACACCCTTGTTGGGGGCGAGATGGCTGAAGTGGTTAGAGTACGAATCCACTGACCTGAATGTCCGTGGTTCGAAACCAACACCTGCCTCTCGATTTCCCCTGTCTAGACTTAGTCAACCAGTATCCCGGCCCTCGTGCTTCCTCCGGTTGGCATGGTAGCTAGGTAACGGAAGGGTGCTAGACCTGAACGATGATGAATGATGATGAATGACACTGTCGTGGATGAATTTTATCGATCGATTTAGTTAGCGAAGTTTATCAGGACGCACATCAGCCAGCAGAATGACAGGAAGGCTTGAATGAGAGCCCAGTGGCAGTGGACTGTAAGCTCATCGAATGTGCCCGTCGAAGGACTGCTATCGGAATGAGGAGGGGCCTGAAAAGCATGCCACTCCATGTGACACCCAAATCAGTAGCATAAAACTTGAGGTAAATGGGTGTATTAGTTACGATTCACTAAGTGGTTTGCAATTGTAATCCATGCTTGAAATTCAGGAAGATGAACGAATAAATAAACACGCCACCTTACTGCGCGAGCATGACGTTAAGTCACTTGATTCGTTCAGTAGTATTCTGTGATGCCTAGTGACTGACAGTTTGTTGAAAACTTTGGATTGCTATGGCATGTTACTCAGAAACCGAAAGAAACACCCGATGGAAAGAACCACGACGGGATGCTTTAGACGGAGGCTACTAATTCAGCTTATACCGCTATATTCAGTAGCCTTCTGGCAACGTCCATGCCGGCCACGAAAACTTGAGACATGTTATTTCGACGTCATGATACCATCATACAAAAGCTTCATCGATGCGTTCAAACTTCAGATTCTTACCTAAACGGTTCGGAGCTGAAACACGTGGATATTCAAAGCGTGAGTATAGTCGGGAACTTATCGCGAAGTCTGCATGTTTCGCAAATTCGACACCAGAGCGACTGAGATAACGGGACTCAAACTTCGTGGACAAAAACTGACAGCTTTTTGCTTGGACTGAGTGTCTCGGCCGTTATTTTTCGTAGACAGTTCACTCTTTTCATTAGACCGGTTATCATTGTGTGAACAAAAGAACAAAATGAACTTTAGCGGCACTTGAAGAGCATTCCCAAGGGGAACGGTTACCATTTAGGTGAAAACGTTCAACCACTCAAAATGATAACACCTGAGACCTGTATAGAACTCGAAGGAGTGCCCCTTGAGGATGATGAAATTTTCACCGGTGCCTGTCGGAATTCGGACTTTAAACTATCGCAGAATGAGCAAAACAGATGGTTCTTAAATTATTTTTTTAAAGAAAAATTGATATCTTTGGAGGATCTCAGCCACAAAAAACGTTGCACAAAGTTTGACCAAATGTATGGTCTGTCAGCACTGGGAACTACCATAAGATTGTTTTGTGTCTTCATATAACCTTCTGGCACTTGCAACCCACAAATACTTGTGTCTTTTTGTTTCGCTACCCTATTCGTGACATTCTCAAAATCGCCGTTTTGTCTCATCTCAAAATAAGCTAAAAGATTGTTCGTAACGAAACTCTGATCTCATAAATCAGTGTGATCATCGATCCATGTATTTCATCCAAATATTGGATAAATTCACGAACGAGTGATTTGCGTTTCAATTTGTTTTCTTCTTCGAAACGCTCATGCGAACTATTTTATTTTCCAGGGTGTTATCCTTCCGACGGTGAGTTGCTTAGTGGGTCGTTGGGTCCCGCCAAACGAGAGAAGTCGCACTATGGCTTTTGTGAACTCTGGTGAGTGTACTGAAGCGCGGTTTGGCCATTCGGCCGACCACATTCTACGCCTTTTTATTTCCCTGGTCACTGTTCAACATCGTAGCTGTGAGGACTTACTGTTGCTCTAACTGTGAAGTAACAACAAAAAGTGGTAAAAATTTGTTTCGTTTTGAAGGCGAGCCGGAATGAATACTCTACACTGTTCGGAAGCCGCCTACTGAGATCCTGTACAAAGAAACCTAAGATTTCGGCGAACGTAGATATTAAGGCTCATCTCCGGAATAACTTTGGGCTAAGGAAAGTACGATAGATCTGTCTAATTGCATTCTGTCTTATGGAACACATGTTGGTTGCGGTAAACGGACTTTCAAACTCACCACAGATGCATATGGGAATATGGAAATCGGCTGACCTTCTCTTGTCCACAGCCAGGACAAAGATACTCGTGATACTTCACGCCTAAGAGTTTAATTAAGGGTGCAAGATTGCATGTCTAACACAGCCAGATGTGCCGGATCCTTGTTCTTAGGGGTTCTATTCGTTGGTTCCATGTAGTCTGTCTCCACGTTGAATTTCAACAAACTGGCTTTTACCCATAATTCCCCTCCAAACAAGGGTCACGTGTCCAACGGGCTAGGATTACTGGAAGCCACAGTGGAAGACGCTTTGCTCCAACGCACTTCATGGAATAGGGGTCAAATTTTGCTTGATCAAGTGTAATGACGGTGGTCGACGCGTACTGCAACGAGTAGACCAAACCGGAAGGTTACACACAAGCTTGTGAAGAAAGACGTTGGTGTGCACATAGTTCACTCAGCTAATATAAATTTGTGATTCAGTGGAACACATAACTTATTTGTACTGTAAAGATCTCTTCAGGCTAACTTGGTTCTCCCGTTCGGTCTACATCTCACGAAGTAAGGCTTCCAAAATTCACACTGCCCCAACCTGGTAAGCCACAGTATTTTGTTCATTACGGAACACGTCTGATCAAGCTATTCAAAGATCTTGGTCTCTCTCGTAACTCAGGTCATCGAGAGCGGCTCGGTTTTCGTCTTATGTACGCAGTCTAGAAACCCGCGGCATCGAGAAGACATCAGTAATCCAGATACTGCCCAATCTGAATCGCAAAAAAAACTGAAATCTGAGTCGCAAAAAAAACTGAACGGATTCGACTGTCGATTTGACCACGAATGATCAAAACGGTATTTTTCTCTCCAAATCGATACTTTGAACCATAATTGATCCTGCACGCTAAAGAATTGACAAACGAAGAATAAACTATATTCTTTTAGGCCAAATCACGTGACCAATGATGTTTCGGGAGAGATTGGTGCTCATGAATGTAGGTAGCCTCTTTAGGTCTCGAGTAAATTTTGGAAGAATCGATTGTAATACAACTAGCCTGCATGGGATGATACTTCATTTCGTATGTTTTCACGTAGATCAACAAACAATCGACACGCAACCTCAGTCTGCTTGCGGGCTCATGCACGCTGGTCCACTGAGTGAGCAGCTCTCGACAAGAAATTTTGATTTAATCAACTAAGGGCTCTCTCACAAACAACGATGGTTGGTTTTCTGTACAACAAATTCATCCTACTGACGTTCAGTGCCGTCGAAATTCAGGACCATGCTTGCGGCATTCATTGAGTGGTAAACCAGTACGAGCAAGTTACAGGAACCAAGCGGAAGAGAGATTCAAACTTAGTTAAGCGATACACTGGGAGCTGAAATATCGCGTCTCGGATTTCCAAACCCAAAACTGTGTATTGTTCGATCTTCACGCTGTGGTAACTACGTCTGCGACCAGACATATTTCTCAGATCAATGCATATACACCTACCAGTGACCTACCCACCGGTGTCACGATTAGAATCTTCGCTTTGGTTTCCTGCAGTTTTGATAGGACGGTTGTAGAGCGCGATCCGACGACAGAACAGTGGACTTCGAACCTTATAAAACCCACGTTGAATGTCATGCTTTTTATCTGGAATTTCCTCTTGAGTGTCATGAGGTTTCCTGTCTGCTGCGAGAATTCCATAGCAGGGAATTTCTGGCATTCTAAAATCACTCCCCACACCCTGGCTCGTTTGTTTTTCGAAAATGAAGTTAGTTTGAACCTTTGGACCGGTATTTGAAGAAATGTCAAACATCCGGTAGCGAGGACCGGATTATTTTATCTTCACACGGATATTTCAGGCAATATGGGTGTAGAAATGAACGAATATTGATCGATAAGCTAACCCCCCACAGGAAAAAACACGGCAACTCCCAGTTAGCGTTTGGGCTCCTCCGTCCAAGAAACAAAACTATCGCACCCATAAATCAGGACCGCTTGCGTTGTTGACTGATTCAGTCCAAGCGGTGAGGTTGGTGAGACCGCAGACGAAGCGTTAAGTTAACTATATGCCGTGCGAACTAAAATCCTCTTAGCGAAATACATTCAGTTGCAAACTAGTTTGGTTTTGCGAGACACTCATCTGGAACCCAGCTGAATAGTGCAGCACGAATGTACATGTATCGCGATATCGCGAATATCGTAGCGACTGAAACATGAGGCGGCCTGGTGCAGCACATTCAGTTGTCTGGAAGCATCACAAACGGAGAGATTCAGCTGGGTTCCAGGTGAGTCTCTCGCAAAACCAAATTAGTTTGCAAATGAGTGAATTCCGTGCAACTTGGTATCAAGTAGAACATAAGGTTGACGAAAACCCGGGGACTACACCTACCTGATGAGCCCCAAGAAGGGCGGAACCGGTCGTGGGGTGTCGACGGATTTTCAGCAACTTTATGCGTAGTACATTACGAATAAAAACTCACATTAGTGTGGGAGTCTGAAATCACTTGCTTAATTCAATAAGTTGCAATCCTGAATGTGCGCCTCAGAATGACCTATTTCGAATTCAGTTTGTAGCAGATCTTCTTATAAAGTTTTCACCCGCAACCAACTCAGTTCGTTATTGAGAGATAGTCAGTCCAACTTGCGGTACACGTTATTGTCTGTTTTGTTGCAAAGACATCATTGATACCAAAGGAGGGGAAGCACTGGACTCGGGTTTCGGTCTTATTAGAGCTCATCAGCAGTGGATATCCAATGGCCGTGCTGGGGTTCGAACTCCGGAAATCTGACGTGCGAAGCGAGCGCGTAACCACTGTTCCACCAGCGCACGTTGGACGCATTTGAATTCTCATGTCTGAACTGGCGAACATGTTCACTCTTGAGCAATGTGATTGGTATGCCCGACACATGCACTGGTGGAGTATTGGTTACACGCTCGCCTCGCACGTCAGATGTCCGGGGTTCAAATCCCTGCACGGCCATTAGATATGCACTGCTGATGAGCTCTAATAAGAGCGAAACTCGAGTCCAGTGCTTCGCCCCCCCCCCCCCTTTGGTGTGGATTCACCAGAATAATTGCGCCAGGACAGGAGGACAACTGTTCAAACGAGAGTGGTGTGAACAATACACATCCCGTGAACTCCACGATATGCAGCATTATTAATCACCTTATCGAAAGCTTTGGAACGTAACCATTTATGAAAAATTTTCGCAAGACTTCCCAGCTGATATCTTTCTACAAATCAGCCAATCAGATGAGTTTCAGAAAGAGGTGTGTACACCGCCTACAGGCTGCATTATATTACGCTTTGCCCAGACGCAAAATCGTTGTCGACGAAACTGAATGTTTTCCACATGTCCACTGTTCTGAAATACAAACTTTGTCGATTACTTGACCAGAGAGAATAGGGAATACACCTGTTGGTAGTGTGAGGAGATTTGGGATTTTTGTGGGATTTCGTCCTGTAAGTGAAGCCAATCTATGCTGAAAAGCCGAGAAGCACTGTACAGCTGTTTTATCCTTATTGGGAATCATCAGCAGTGCGCATCTCACGGTAATACACCTTCTTTAAACATCTACAATCGAACAAATCGATAGAGCAACCAGAAAACCAGTGCCAAAATGGCTGGATGCTTAAGCGTGAGCTGACAGTACACGTCACAACGGATACTCTCCGGCAGTCAACGGATCTCCTTTTGAACCAGTTGTCGTTCTAAATCCGCGATGAATTCCAGTTTGAGCGCTAAGTGGGACTGCCAGATACTCATCGGACTGTTGAACACGTGACGCATTCCGCCGTTGTTTGGAAAGTTGAATAAAGACTTTGCTTGTTAGTTCCACCCTCTCCGTGGAATCCTGGTCATGAATCTAATGTAGAATTTAGTTATTTTCCTTTTTGCCCTTGTTTGTTTGAATGGATGGGGAAAACACCGCTCGTTCGCCGATACAGCAGACTGTTCCAAAGAGGCACTAATGGTCTCAGTTCCACATGTTTACGTGGATGGCGCGAAGTGGCTCGAATTCACTGACCGGAAGTTCCATGTTTCTAACCCGACCTCAGCATCTCGACTTCCCCTGTCTGAACTTAGGCAACCTCGGAGTATCCCCGCTCTCGAGTTTCCTTCGGATGGCATGGTAGCTAGGCACCGAAAGGATGTCACAGCTGAACGATTACGTTTATTTATCACATGTTTACGTTTAATGATTTGGTGTAAGTGTCTTCGGGATTTGTAAACAAATTTCACCAATTTCACCATTTCGGCCTTCGTCCTTTCGCCAAGGTCATCCAAAGACACCGGTTCTCTCAGTATGCAGACCCAGAAGACTTTGAATAAACCTCAAAATTGTTTCATTTGAATCGATCAAGGAAATAGTTGATATACCTTTCAAGCATTTTCCTACAGATAGGAAAGAATAGTACAACTAAAATGGCCGATCTGGGAGGATTGTAGTGTTCTTACTCCCAATTTGAGTCCGCGAATAAGGATCTTTTCCCCCAAGTGACTACTTTAACAAAATAGTAGTGAACAATCCTAGGAACTCCAAACGACCTTATGATTTTTGTGTTTTTGACTCTGCAACCCCTTAAAGGGGTCCGTGCCGTCGTGTGAAAGCTGATAGGCACCTTTATCGATTTACTCTGACCTCGATAGGCCAGTATATTTGAAATCCTAGTTTGACTCCAATGCTCTTTGCTCGCGGCCACTCTTGGCGGTACCCAGTGTGTTTCTCGAGGAAAATTTCCACCAGAAGAGTTGGTCTCATGACTTTTATGTGATACGGGAACTCTAGTATAGTGGCCGAGCTTGACACTGCGTGCAGTTTTTCTAATCAACGCTACGACTGACTACGTGTTGTGAACCCTGCCACCCGATGCAAGACCAGTTATGTGGTTAAAATTGCTTGTTAATCAGACAGCAGTTGACCTGTTCACTCGTCTTGGCAACAGGCGTGCGAAAGTTTCATTACCATGTGACACAGTTAGGAAGCGGACGCGATGGTAGGTGTCACGATGAACAAACAGGGGAGATTTCCATCACATATAAAAACGACTGCGTGTGAGAGAGATCGCCGCAGCCTGCCACATTTTTGCTACCCTTTTAATCGGGTGCGGTAGTCCATTCTAACACAGGTCGTGGCAGAATATTCTCCTCTGGGCAGAAACAGATCATTCCGGGAAGGCAAAATATGTTGAGTAATGTGGAAATGTATGTACGGACTACACAGCCACTTTAATTTTCATAAGCAGACTCATCTACCTGTGACGTGCTTCAGAGTGAATAAAATGATATGTATAGTATGTATATATGCATAGTATATGTATATATGGTATATATATATAGTATATACATGTATATAGTATGTATGTATAACATGATATGTATGTATGATATGTATGAATATGTACCCTTGTTTCAACGTTTCTAAGTGTAACTGAAGTCTAGTATTTGTCACCTGTTGAGCTCGCGTAAACGAGTTTCCGTGTCCACCCCTCTTTACACCTTCCGTAAGTAATCCTAGTCGCGTTTAGTTCCTCACGTGGACCACACGATTTAGTGAGCGTTATCATGGCTGTAACTGTGACTCAGTACTCGTGTGTGTGTGCAACCGGTCGTGGTGTTGAATTCCACTGTCACATCGACCCCTGGACTGCTCTGGCCAACTGCGTCAGTGCATTGGTTTGACGCCGCACGCAAGGACCGCTGGCAGAACTCTACTGGATCCATTGAAACACATGCTGGTACAGGCGGTCTCACCAGCATTCCAACGTAATCATCATCTTACGTCATTGGACTGAAAGTTGCACCCACAAGTCAAAACTGCAGTTGCATTAAAACTTGAAAACTTAAAACTTTTGTAAAACTTTTGATTAAAACTAATGTAATCACATCTGAATAACTGATCGTTATTGGTTCTCGTTGATCAGAACGAATCACCCGACGCACATATATCGTCTACGTCAGCGTAACCAATTGATGAAAAACTTGAATCAGTGAAGAAATCGGTCGATAGTTTGCTTATCATCAGGTTAACATACACCACAAATACATGCTAAGAAGCAGGTGATTATGTTAGAAACAAATGTTTGAATTGATTTCCACCAAAATGATTTTCAATTTGGTGGACGAGGGAAATACTCTCGAACTCTTGCGTCTCGCTGTTTCCCCCTGGATCTTCACTGAACAGGATATATATTAGTGTAACTGAGGACTTGCATACAAATCCACACGGTGAAACCGAAGGCAGAGTTCTACTCACGGAGAGGTTGAAGATTGATCAACATCCCGCGACCGGTTTCGTTCTTTTTAGGGCTCATCAGATGGATGCAGTTCCCGTCAACCTTACGTTTCACCGTAGAACCAAATCGGGCAGCTTTCGACAAAGAGACTCATTTGCGTGTCAGTTTGGTTTTTCACAGAAGACTCAACTGAATCTCTGTTGGAAAATTGGAGACTGCACCCACGGGATGGGACCCAAGAAGGGCGAGACTGGTTTTCAGCGACCTAGTGAGTAGTTTCCTCTAGGAAAATATACGTGACATTTCCGACATCGTAGCGACTGAAACATAAGGTGGCCTGTGTGCAGCACATTCAGTTGAAGAACATCATAGAAACGAGAGATTCGGTTGAGTCTCTCGTGAAAACCAAATTGATTTGAATGTGAGTGTACTTGTCGAAAGGAAGGACGGCTCTTCAAATCCAGTTGTGTGACCGTGCAAACAGAACACCAGTCTGCAGAAAAGGCATCCTGTACACATAAACGAGGCCTGAGACCAAGTTGTGAGTGAGTCTTCCGAAATGATAGCTTATTGAATCGCATTTTCCGTGGCAGATGGATCAAACATTCCTCCAGACCGAAGATTTCGTTTCCCTAATGCGGTCCTCTTTCGGTCTGATGGTTGGTACATACAGACGTGTGCATTTGCAATGGGCCAGGATTCAACCAAATTTTAATTTGATATGAATATCGCTCACAAATGTCGTTATTTTCCTCCGAAGAGCGGCGAAGCAATTGACACAAGTTATGAAAGTGTCTCTGCTTATCCTATTAATGGATTATGGGTAACTCACTCATGCTGCTTGCCGTAAGTCCTCCTGATCGGCCAACCTGAATATTTTGAGGACCGCATTTCTGGACGTTCAAATCTTCCATTTTTATCCTCCGAGGACCACCAACAAGCTGAAAAGTAACTGGTTTGTTTGTTTGTTTGTTTGTTTGTTTGTTATTTACCTGAGTATATATATGTATGATGATAACAGTATATGAAGGTACTATAAGATGGTATTGTTAATCAGGTAGTTGGATTACAAACTTTCCGCCATTGTCCGTGGAGCCATCGTTCGTGCACGATTTGGTGGGTTTAGACACACTTCCAAGGAGGAACTGGATGCCAGATCCGATATATGGGTCAGACAATCTACGGCTCCAGATATGCTAAACTCATCGCGGTTTCTCGAGACAGTGGAATCAGTTGGGACAGTCTGGTTACTTGATCTGAATTTCCGGTGATATCGCCGCCTAATGCTCAGCATACTCAGTTTGGGCGCGTAGAAAATGAACGGGAATGCTGCATCATCATTGTCTCGCTGGTTAAGATGTCAGGTTTCTGACCCTAGTGACTTTAGCCCCCAAATCAGACAGGTGCTTAATACGTTCCATCCATCCCACTACTCCTAGGATGATAACGCCAAATCAATGCTGACGTCGGAATTCAAACAGCTCTGCTACGTCACCGCACACGATGACCGCCCGAATACCAGGCACTGTTGACAACACACTCCGCACCTTCTGCGTTGATCATCACATTTACCATCAGTAGTAGCCCCCCATGTCTTAAATGTCTTGAAACTAGAGCGAAGGAATAATTAACGAGCAGATGAAGTTGTCTTGATCATGATGTAACCTTTGGCTACCGTATTATTGGTTCACGGCTAGCCGAACTCACATTCAGCATGACTACGGCGTTCATGGTGTCACTTCAAACCTGAAAGAGGCAATCGAAAACACAGTCACGTTCACAGTGACTGGGGATTAGAATTCTTGCTCACTTGTTACGTTATGCAGAGCATGAAGCAAAGTCTGCGCGTGAAAATGGAAACACAGTTACCAACTCCAGCAGGTAGCAGTGGCCCACCTCTACTTCAGCCTAGCGTGATCGATGGCTTTTTTCTGGTCAGTTTATAATTATCAGTGGCTATCTTATTTCTTCACAATTGTTGCACACATACAACTGACCGGCGATTGCGCTGGACGCAAGTTTTAAACTACTGGGTGATAAATCCTTGTAGATGACCGCCTTTGGGGTTCTTCCAGCGTGCTTGCAGCTGGGATTGCATTGAAAAGCTTCACAGTGGAAGAGATAAGCAAGCAGTCCGGTTTGTCTAGAGTGATTTACGTTAAAATTCGTTAAAGAATTTGTCACAAAGTTGAGTCCTGTTGTACAATCTTGTCTCTATTGCTTTCACAGTCGTCTACCATCAGGTCCAACTTGGTCGCAATCTGATAAACACCATCTTTAGGGGAATCATCTTGATTCTTGCTTAAATCGGAAGCACCGGAGGATCTTGCTGAACACTAATGTTATGATGTCGATGATGATGATGACGATAATGTGGGTTAGAATCCTTAGAAATTGACATAGGGTTAACCTATGACGCGTCGATCAGATAGGTGGTGCTTCTCCCTCTTTCTTACCATCTTGAGATTTAAGAAATGGAAAAAACTATCCTTCTTTTGTAATGCATTACTCATAAGGTTGCTGAAAACTCCTCGACAGCCCACGAACGGCGCGAATTCCATGCAATTTGGTTTCGAGTAGAACAGAAGGTTGACGGAAACTCAAGGTTATGCCTACCTTATGAGCCCCAAGAAGGGCGAAACCGGTCGTGGACTGTCGAGGAGTTTTCAGCAATCTTATGAGTAGTGCATTATTACAAATATACATGTATGGCGATATTTCAAATATCGTGGCGACTGAAACATGAGGCGGCCTGATGCAGCACATTCAGTCGCCTGAAAACATCACAAACGGAGCGATTCAACTGGGTTCCAGATGAGTCTCTCGCAAAGCTAAATTAGTTCGCAAATGAGTGTATATTCGCTATCCTTCTTCGTTTTCATGCGTGAATTCCTTCTCTGAAAGATACCACTTCGGAGAGTCTTGCATCCCTGCCACATGTAAAGCGACCAAAAACGCACCCACGACCGAGTAGATTTTGCCTTATTCAGCAGCCCCATCAATATGTTAGCCGAAATTATTTGAAACGAAACTCCCTGTGCCATCCATTTGTTGATAGAGATTCATTTTCAGACAAAACGACAGACACACATTCAGTGCATGTTGATGTCAAAGACGGGAGACGACAATTCGGGATTTTTGTTTCAGTACAGCTGTACATCTTGTATCAAATATCTTCAAAAT